AGAACGAATGGCGGCCATTTTGTCTGTCAATTTTGGGCCGATTTTCACGAAATTCGAACCCAGCCATCCTTAGGGTGTAACGGTGATATAATAATACGTTTTTTTAAATCGGATAAAAATTACGACCTCTATAGGGTCAACAAGCTAAAAACGTGATTTTTCGTACAATCAGGGGCCATAATTCAGGAAGTTACGGTCCGATATGCGCGAATATCAAAAGAAACCGAGATCTTTGGGTTATAAACTAACATTTCAAGTTTCAACAAAATCGGATAAAAACTGTGACCTCTATAGGGTCCACAAGCTAAAACCGTGATTTTTCGTACAAACAGGGGCCATAATCCATGAATTCGATCCGATACATGTCAATATCGACAGCAGCCGAGATCTTTTGGCGATAAACCTATATTTCAAGTTTCGTCAAATTGTGACCTGTAGAGTGTCCACAAAACACGGACGGACGGACGTCAGGACATACGGACGTCCGGACGGACAGGGGCGACGACAATATACGTCCACATGAAAATGTGGGCGTATAAAAATACGTTCACTGCACTTCCGCAGCCAGCAAGTTGGCTATGGGCCTACGCATTCAGTGTGGCGCGTTTCAATTTGAATTCTATCCTAATAAGCTGTAATGTGACGCATCGCTTAGTCCGAGACAAACCAATCCGAATCCGGAGGCCGGACTCCAGAATTCGCATTGAATGTGCATGCAGTGTGAACGCAGCTTTAATGTACTATCAACGATATGGAACTATTTCAATTCAAAGAACTGTTTTATTATAGAGAATATAAGCTCAAATTAAAGTCGAATTTTAACAAAAGCAACAGTTTGCATATACAAAATATGATTTTTTCCCAGCCCCCAACAGCTAACATATTGACAATCAATACTTGCATATAGCCTATAATACAGGGCTCGTGAGAGGGGTGGGGCAGCTGGGACACCTGCCCAGGAGACCGGCGCCTATAGGAGCCCGGTGGTATATGCCGAGTAATGCTATTATTAGAAACGTTTGTGGGCATAAATTGATAACAAAGATACACTGTTACTTGATCGTAAACAAAACTGATGACTTTTCCGAATGCGGGATGAATTTTCTGAATGTGGGCTCAAAGTGGCGTGGGTAGGGTTAGAATCGGATTCTATCAGTCCACTTTTTTTGAAAATTGAAGTATTATAAACTGTAAGCCACCTGCCCGGGCCTTCGAGCTGTGAGGCCCCGGTGCGTCCTCGTTCCGTTTGAGGCTTAATTAGACATTTATTAACATCAAAAGACCTTAATCAACTCTCAATGCCATCTTATGTGTTCGATTTTCATTGGATTTGAATCTGATCTGCTGCTCAACGCCCATTGATGATTAAATGAAAAAAATGGATAATCGAAACTATGAAGGTATTTTTTTTATCATACCGACTTTGGTAATGATGATCGAGGCTAGGCCTAAAATTCAATCGCTTCCGAGTGGAGCAATTTGACTGAAATTTTCCGCATATACCCTTTACATTATCTAGTTTTTAACTGTTATAGTGAGAATTGCCAGCTCTTTGTCGAATCTTCCATTATTCCCAATTAAGTATTGTTTTAAAAACGAAACAAAAAAGATATTCTGACGATATTTAAATAGATGCATGTGTCTAATGTTACTTGAGTATATCGTGAAAGTCTAATATTACCTATATACCATAAACTCAATATCTGCCATTTATCTGAGCCAAGTCTATCAATTACGAGGAGGCGAGCTCTCTAAATGTCTTCTTTCAAACATTTACTTTTTAGAAAGAGAAGGGCAATATATTGTGTCAGAATGTTATTTGTTAAATGTGGTTTGAAATCAATCGAAATTACACACACCTACCTATTGGCAACGATTTTGAACTTAACACCAAATCTGACATTTCACGATGTGGGCCTGCTAATTACTGACCGAGTTTGAAATAACGCAAAGGAAGAAGTGTGAATTTAAGTTTAAGCCCCGAGATCTCATATCCATTTTAACCCACTCCCGGTAGTTTATTCATATATTGTCAAATACATAACCGAATATGTCATAAGTAAGAAAATGACAAGGGTAACTGAAATCAGCAATCTTAACGACAGACTCACCCTACCTGCAGAGAAGTGACTCTGGCACAGTGAATAGCCATGATATCCATATGACGTTATTTAAACGTCACAGGTCATGAGGTCACATCAACAAACAAAATTTAATGTAAACACCATCATTATGATCATTATCAACATTACAAGACACAATGTTACATTGTAAACAATAGCTGCAGCCTTTAGGACTGTATAATCCGTACAGAACGTCTTATCGCTTCTTCCAATGATTTTTCACAAAAATAACATCATCTACAACTCTAGATTTGACGTCGGCATATTGGTACTATTTTGTGCTTCGGTCGTGTCTATTTCAGATATACACAATCAATTATGTTAATGTTTTTAGCGTGGGGATTGACTAAAAGTTAATTTATTTCAGTTCTAAACAAAAATTTAAAACTTTAACGCATATTAAAAAAAAAAATAGCCAAATTCTGGCTGGGATTACTGAGCAAAATGGCCATTCACTGTATACGTGCGAAAAAAAAAAGCCAGCTACCATTTAATTTTCGTACGTTAGTTACGTACGTGAAATCAGTTGATCAAAATAAAGTTTCCAGCTAGATGCCAAAATATTATTTCTTACCTAGCAGATGATTTGTAACTAACTATGACAAATTCAGAATTTCTGGAACATACATATGTGTTTTTTAGAACATTCCTCAAAGTGATGACTATTTCGGGCTATCTTTTATTATAGATGTTGTGACGAAACCGAAAGTGTTATGTCTGTAAATCCCTTTTCAATTATTTGAAGACCTGTGACAGACCGTCACGACAGACGTCTGAATTAACTTGTTTATTTGTATCAATTGGTTGTTTTCTTTACTTGTCAAGGTGTCTGGTAAATCCAATTTCATTGCAAGACTAAATAAACTGACAAGATGCTGTGCGATTGATAAAGCGCTGGCCACCTATCCAGTAGGTCACAGATAGCGCTGCTGTTCGGACAAAATTTACCCCATAGCATACTCGAGGGCGTTTTCCCGGTTGTGAGAGAGAGCGAGAAATGGGGTTTAACGTCCACTCGACACAAACTAAGTCATTTTGGGACTAACATTTGGTTTAATTTTATTTCAATAATTCGCTTGCGCGTTGGGGTCTTTAGCAGTGGGAGGAAACCGGAGGACCCAGAGAAAACCCACGAAGATGGACAGGCGACCCTACTCCTTGTCACATACAACCGGAGATTCGAAACCACGCCAGTTGAATCAATGACAGGCTTTATGATACAGCGCGCACGTGCTAACCATTCGGCCATCCACCCCCCCCCCCCCCAAGCAGGGTGTGCACTGAACATTCTCTGTATATATCTAGAATAAAGTTTCGACTTCTTACAACAGAACATGATAATAATATACAACAATTCCACTGGACGAGTAGTTTAACGCATATAACGCCAAGTTGTTTCATATATTAATATATCATACGTAAATGACTTTACCAAAATGGGGAAGTAACTTCATGAGCTTTTTTGCTGGTAAGATATACGTATTTTGCAGTTCGATATATAATAATTATTGTCGGTCATAAACTAATCCATTTAATTATCACCTATAATTTTTATCGGTGTATATACGACACATTAAGTTCTGTATGTGCCTAACGGATTGTTTATAATACAAAAGCCCATTATTTTTTCTATAGACATTTTGTGTCTGACCATCGTTGCCCAGGGTTCCAATTAAGTGTTCGAGATCTATCTAAATATATTACTGCATTAGCTTGATAACGTTGAGAGAATACTCTTCGAAACGTCGCCCAAATAAATAAGTAGCTGTTTTTCCATAAGTACGTGTTATAGTTTATTGCTCTATCCAGTTACTAAATGCCTCTCAAAGATTAAATATTACGAGTTTTCCAAATGTGGATTTGTTGTCACTATCACTAAAAATATCATACACATAACTGGTGGCTGTTATATAGTCCGAAGTTCCAATAGTCCGAAATAAACATTTTTGATCTTAAGTAAGATCGTTTTCGTCAAAATTACAATTAATCATAATTTGTTCAAATTTTGGATATGATATGAAGAATATGCATATTTATATCATCTTTCCTTGACAGTCACTTTTTGCTATACTTTGGGCGATATTGACAAAAGCTATACGCTGAATGTACTCACGTCTACAGAGTAACGGTCATTATCATAATGGGATGGGGTACAGAAGTTTACCAATGACTAAATCAATCGTAATTTACTTTATCTACATACATACGTTATTATTCTCTTGACTCTGATTTAAACATTTCTCTTAAAATCACTCATTATCTGCCAAATTGATTGAATTGATGACATTACGTCGTAATATGGTAATATCTGCGCCTACTGATTATGTGATGTGTCTGATGGGAAATGCAGCAATTTGCCGTATGTTCCCATCAATAAGAATATTAATAAGTATATTTGATTTCATTTTATTTATATAAATTGTGTCTTAAGCTATAGTACCATTATAATACTCACATGGCACTAGACCCGGGACAACAGTGGAGTTAAAGCCACTATAGAATAATTAACATTACTTATTTGAATAAGGACTGAACATATTATTCCTATTAAAGTAACTTAGTCAATTAAAAAAGAATCAACTTATGATACATGTCATTTAGGTATTGATGTACATGTATAGAAATGCGCTATCCTTTATGCGACAACTGATCAAATTAAAAGCAACAGAAAATAATTTAAATATTAGATGACAATATCTTGTGTTATTTATATATTTTTAGAAAAACCTAAATTCTCTTAATTTTCTTTATTCTCTTGATCGCAAGGTTCTTTGGTAGTCAACCTCAATCGAAATGGTAAACCTACATTCTGTGCATTCATGAACATGTGCGCTGAAAACAATGCGATGGAAAATATCTACAAAGCAAAATACTTACCATAAGTTCTCCTCAACTCTAAGGGTGTGGTTATTGGCACGAGTAGGACAGATTCCACCACCGGGACAGGAACAGATCTGTGTAACAAGGAGATTACTTTCATCCTTTCCTATCTTAGGTGGAAATTGAAATATACCAGAACATACTGTGGATATTGATGGACATTCGGGTAGTGGACTGTGCTGAAATTACAAAAAAAATAATATTGTACAAATTTGTCTAGGGATGTGGCTACTCCTTTGATGTTGGGCCCGGTGGTAATTGCCCACTATTACAACTATACCTTTCCTCTTAATAAAAAAGAAACATGAGAATAATTAAATTGGTGAATCAGGTGTCGCGGTTTGGTTTGTTTCCTGGTGCTTGAGCATTTGTTTTGTTTCCTGGTTTTAAGAAACCTTCTTTTTATGACCACCGAGAATCGATTTATCATGTTGCAGCACACTTTTTATACATATATGTTATATGTAAATGTATTTTCCGAGCTAAACCTGATACCTTGTCAGACACCAGTCCAAGCGTTAACCCCCTCAGGACTGGAATTGAGTTAATTATTAAATTATGGGCGTAACTCTTGATTCACATGTATTTTCCGGCTTTATGGACCTTAGGTAATTTCCTGATGATGTGAATTTGGGTAAAAGTTAAAGGGAGGGACACAAAGCTTTTATATTTTTCAAACCGTTCTTCGGCTATTATTTTATTATCGATTTCGATTTCACTGACCAAAGCCAATCTGAAATGCATTATTGTGGTGTAATCATTTCTTGACGCGAATCAAGCGATTACTTTCAAATCACTCTTTAACAAATATTCCAGTTCAGATTAATTTAATTATATTCCTGGATGCACATGACGACTATAATTACTGTCCTTGTGCTTCAGGTCAGCAAAAGTTTCACAGAAAGAATTTAATAGCGAAACGTTCGAAAAGACTTATTTTACGTTAATGATATTTCACAAACATAAAATTACATTTAAAAAAAAGATGAATAAAAGAATCATGACACATCACAATTCAACAATTCTTTATGATCTGCAATAGCTGAATTGCTCTTTTTCATATTAATCTCATTTCCCTGCAAGGCTTGAAATCTCATTTCCTTCGAAAAAGCCAATACAAGTCCTGCAGTATAACGCTTATGTGGAAAATTAGATCTAGAACTAATCTGGTTCCACCTCATCTAATTGAATTCTTAGGATGCTAATCGGGGGTTATGATTATAGGCAATCCACGATATTTGTATTTTTCATACATTTTTGCTGTAAGTAAACCCCGACGCGTTGATTAGTTTTCTTCAACAATAATTGAGATTCATCAATAAATAACTTGATGGGCAGCATGAATCCACTGTTCTGCAACATGATTGCGTAGACTTATCTGGAGTATCTCTACACCGTATTGTCAGTTTATTCTTTTGTTGCCAGTATAACGTATCAGTTGATAAAAGTCTGACTCCTCATACACCTGGTATCTTCTGAGCTGTCCTTGTTGTTGCCCCTGAAGCAACCCCAAGTGTGTTCACTGTGGTGTTTGATACAGATAATGTCAGTATATTGTTTAGGCCACGGCACCGGACTAGTTGATCAAAAGAACCACATTGTTCCTAACGGTTAGGACCGACTAGTACATCGGTAACCAATTAGCCCGAATGCTGTATGCCAAGTGTTGGGTTTTATGTTCTGAAGCATATTAGCTAATCTTATGTAGATATGAATGAGTGTTTTTCTCCATACATAACGCTTATTGTATCGGTGACCAGTTCGCCTGAATGCTGTATGCCAAGTGCTGGGTTTTATGTTCTCGAGCATAAACAATTATTATGCATATAATATGGATCTATGTTTTCTATATACGAAACGTTTATGTAGTTGTAGAGTTTGACGACATGACATTTGTGACATGCCAGCGTCAATATTTCCTATGGCTTAATTCTAGATGATTAAGCCTTGATAAAAGGAGATGATGCCACTAGCTTTACGTGTTTATATATCTATAATATAAGTCAAACCATGTGGAAAATCATTGATAACACGATACCCCAGTCACCTTCTTGTCATTATAGCTGCTGACTAAATAGCTAATGGTGAACATTACTATTACAATGTAACACTGACCTTCTCCGGATGATTGACAAAAAACTGGGACATTTACAGAGGCGGATTCAATGGGGGGGGGGCGCCCCCCCCCCCCTCTAATTTTCGACAGTGCCCTTTTTTACTGCTGAAAGTGCCTTTTCTCAGACTCAAATATGTCCGTTCCCAACCCGTTGTAGGGATCCCAAATGACTCAAACCATCGACTCAAACACACCAGTCTGGGAAATAGCTCTTGGAATGGCTACAGATGCAAGGAAATGACGGATAATTTTATTGGGACCCCCCCCCCCCCACGGCGGCGTGCCCCGTCTCCGCGGTCAATGCCTTCATTTTGCAGCGCCCCCCCCCCCCCCTTTTCAAAATTCCTAGATCCGCCCCTGATTTATACAGAAGTAAAGAGCTTAAACACAGTATCAGATTTTTTTAAAATATGTCATCATAGTAGGGCTGGTGATTAACACTATTACGACCTATCGTTCATGATAGTTTGGGACATAATAATCTGAATACATGTTTTAATATTTATTTATCCATTAGAAACTTGCGCCAATAGCTATTACATTTAAAACGTTCTTTGTTTAGAAAATCGAATCCCAAATAACCCTAAACTCAGTTTGTCATTAGCGATTTAGGTTACATTATTCTGCCTCGATAATGTTATATTTGGTTTGGCGGGTAACTCAATTTAAAAATTTATTGGAGGATCCAAAAGTATGGGACTCATGTTCTCACTTCCAACATCATCTTATGCTTTCAGATGAATCATCAGTTGGTGTATATTTCCTACCAACTAAAGACTGATAGCAATTTTTACCATTTATATTCTGGGCCCTTATTCACGAAAACTTAAACTAAGATACAATCGAAATTTTAAGAAATACTGCAATTTGATTGGCTGACCAGTAAAATCAATTTGCATATATCCAATGAAGTTGCAGTATTTCTTAAAATTTTCGGTTGTAACTTAGTTTAAGTTTTCGTGAATAAGGGCCCGGGTCTTTTTTAAAGTTACAATTTCATATTTTCTAAGAAAGTCAAAACATAATTATTTCTATGTCTTTTGCTTAATAGGTTGTCAACTCACTATTATACGATCATAGGTGTCATTCTCACACTTAAAACTCATTTACACCAGAAATAATAACACAATTACCTCCCAATTACCTCCCTTGTATTCTATTCTCCACCATGGAGTAGCTAACTTCAAACTTTTGAATTTGTCGATGAAAATGATATTTTTGCCAATTTCTCAATTGGCAATAGTGAATTATAGGATTAATAGGATTATTCTTTAACAAGGTAGGACTGTTTATAGATACCATCTATTTTAAGGCTTTATTTTTATAAATTTTAGAAATATAACTTAAAAATATGAAATTGCAGCTTTAAGCTATCAAACTAGAGGTTTGACTTTAATCAGTAATGTTCCAAAACGCCCAGATGCTGAATAAAACACTTGAAATAGATCTGTATAACTATATCCTGGCTTGAACTATGATTTGTCTCTATCAACAATTCCGTCTAATATACCAATACATATTACGAATGACATTATTGAGTAATATGCTATTTATTATCTATTTATGTTATGGACATTACTAGATTAACATTACTTGCCACAGAAGACTGGTTACCTGATAATAATTCTCTAAAACTTCGGGGCATTAATTGTATTGATCATGTTAACAATTTCAGCCGAGATGTTCGAGATGCCCGAGGAGTCATTCTTTCTGTTTTCATATTTTAAAGCATGATTCTGGGCCGAATCCATAGTCTACATTTTTAGATTTTCAACTCGATTGGGTTGGTTGTCAAACCAAGAACTCTGTGTTCGTCTAGCTCAGCCGTAATTATACGGTTTCCGTTTCTGCTGTTATAATAAGTAAGTATTGAGAACTTATCCAGAAACTGTCTTGAACATCTGTTGTTTACGGTTACTGGGTCATATTTCTCAAGAATGTGTCAATTGTGGCAAATCATAAGCATAATCGTGCTTACAAAAATTAATATCGACATCATGTATCTGTCATCAACTTACAGTGGTATCTTGCCCTCCAGACATTTCGTGTGAGTTCAGCGTAAAAATTCGTTACTGTCCTGTCCATATTCTACCAAATATTATCTTTAATATATTTTGACTTGATGTGGGATGTATATAAATATCACAAAGTAATTTTTGAAAAGTAAGAAAAGTGAAATGAAATGGGGTTTAACGTCCTACTGTTCTGCTCCTAAACTGGGCTAATGAAGACGGGCATACGCCATACAGTGTGCTATGAGTAATCAGTGGTTCGGGAAAATGCAAGCACCTTGTCCAGCACATGATTAACTACATAGAAGTACAATACAACAAAGTTTACTATTTACTAGTTAAAAATCCAAACAAACAAAAATGACCCGAATCTTTGCTTTTCAGATTCAGATTCAAGAAGCATGTTAAGTCTACTAAAATGAGCCAGTTCTATACTTCAGACAATGTCAAACTACAGCTGTTAGAAATGCGAAATTGTCACTTTTGCTTACATTTAGAGCAATCTGACCGATGACTCAATTAATTTTCATTATCATTTCCTACTTCCGCACTTAATAACAAGGGCCGGAAACATTGGGAGCCAGTCACCTTACACAGTATTACAGATGAAATGATTAATGTGCCTATATATTGTTTAAATATAAAGGTTTATATATGAAACCCTATTGTTCAGTAAGCGCGTCATTATAGTGTCATAAAATTTATATTCATGAGAAATTGATTTCCTACCATTTCTAAATCTCTTCTGGAGTGGAAGGCGATCGCATTACCTCGATCATGGTTGAACATGGACAAAACTATATCACCATGAAAAATGACCGAATTAAACAATCCAAAGAAAGAGATGCGTCGTTAAAGAAATGATAAAAACGAAAGGGCAATCTTTATTTAAGTCGTCTATTTCGAAATGAAAGCCCTTTCAGATTAAGACAATCAAGCTATTTATATATACTACTAAAATGTGTACTGTCGAATCTTTTTGTGTTTGAATATTCATGAAATCAAGAAAACAATAACCTTATTTATTTCCACATGAATATTAACAAAATTA